TTTTGGGTGACAAGGACATGAAGGTGCTCTTCAGATGCTGTGATAGCAGGCAGCTTGTTTTAGCTAAGGAATTCCACCTGTGATTTTCAACTGGTATTATCTGATGTTAAAAAAAACAAACTGTGAGCTTTCAGGTGATAAAGACCTGCCAGAGTTGAGTGGCCATCTGGGATGTCACCATTCCAAGGGTCAGACCGCAACACAAAATTACTTACCTGTAGAGAGCACAAGACCAAACTCAACTCTGGGAATTAAAAATCCCACTCTGAGACAAGCATTCCGATATCGGTCCACAGCCCTGCTGCGCTGATGTGGTTAACCAGGCCACTCAATCTCTCTGCAATTGTTCTCTTTTAATTTCTCCCTTCCCCCCAGCAGATGCAGTGCGTGACTCCTCTGAGGTAGTGGATGAAGTACTGGCGCAGCCATCATCATTCAGCACAGTTGAGGGAAAACAAGAGCCTAGTGTGAGAGCACTTGCCAACCTGTTGTGGGTGAAGTCACAAGACGAGCTCTCTATTGAATTCCAGCAGAAGCAGAAGAAAGATGCCCAAGGGATCCTGGAGTGACAGCTGGACAGCGATGAAAGGCCGATTCTGCTGATGAGAAGTCTCGGCTGTGCACAGAGCCCTCGAAAGGAGGACAGAATTTGAAAACCAAGATTTTCATTCATTCCCCCTCACACACGCACTCCCCAAAATCACCTGCTTTTACTAACTCACTCTCAGCTTATAGGGAATCTTATAGGGAATCCACCAGCAGTCCCCAGGAGTTACTGTAAGCTCACAATGCCACCTACTGACAATTATCAACCAAGCTCTTCTGCCAATCCAGAGCAACTCTGGTTTTCCATGAAGTAATTTCCTCTCCATTTCCTTGTATTCATCAGCTGTTCTGATGGCTGAATGTGAATTTTCTAAATATTTGCTTCTGGTTAGTATCTTTTCACCACATTTCATCTGCCAAGTGCTTCTCTTTCCACTTCTGAAATAGGGTGAAATTTCTTTCAATTTTCTAAACCCTTTCAATTCCAATTTGACCAAAAGCAGCTAATCCCTCCTGGTTATTAGAATGGGAGAGATTATTTAAGCCTTCTCCTGTCCCAGGTAAGCACAGAATCTCTCTTCACAAATTCATATGTAACCTATCTGGACAACAAGCTTAAAATTCAGAAACTTTAATGACTAGCTGATGTTTTTCATACCCATAATAACCAATCACCAAGTCTGTTGGTTTAAATTGAAGAAATACAAACAGCTCTGCAAGAAGCAGCGCTGTAATCGAAGCAGGATCCAAGCCAGGAGGAGGGGACTGAGACTTTGCTCCTGACTGTTGCTGCATTGCCCATGGCAGTCCTTCCAGTTTTTGGCAGCATTATTCCTACTCTCCTCCTGCTTTGTCTATGGACAATGCACCAAAACAGCCTTCTGGTGTGTGAAAGGTGTTTGTAAGAATTCGGCCAAGGGAACTTTTACCCATTATGGGACTCTTGCACATTAGCAAGATGTAACTAACAGTAGGGTAGGACTCACGTAGGAAGCTGATGTAATATTCAGTGAGTTCTGCACAGTGGTCAGTCATTCCGTATTTTTTTTATTCTGAGCAGGTCACTGGGGAGAAGTGTCCATATTTGCATACGGCTGCGAGAATCAGACTGGAACAGAGCACCGTGGCAAGAAGAGTCAGGACACACACTAAGGAGCTATGTTGCCTGAGCCCCACTGGAACCTGCAGAATCGATTCCTCATATGTCTACAAAGGAAAAATAAATGGATTACATGCATTTAACAAGCTATTTCTTCTTGACTGCAACTTGGAGGATTAGTAACCAGACCACTATTTAATTAGCCCTTTGCTAAGGCTTCTTTTGGGATTCAAAATCAGAACCGAGATGGGACATCACCTTTCAATTTACTGCAAAGGGAGCACCAGCTGCTCTTGCAGTACAAAGCTCAATAAATTTGTCTGATACCATTTTAAATGGTAGCCATTTATATCCTCTGTATCTTTGTTCTTACAACAGGCTTGCCGTTGAGGATATGTATGTAATACAGCACGGGAGGGAGCAGCTCTTGGAATGAGCATTTCACAGTTCACTGAGAAGTCAGTTTCCTCCAAGGCGAACAACTATACTATTTGGATTCTCTCTGATGCAAAAAGCTCAAAACTGTTTTGGGACAAGAGCTACAGCTATCCCAGACACCTGCAGGTATCTTAAATGTAGGAAGGCACACACATTACAAACCCAACAGACTTGCGATGAGACAAATTAGTCTCATTTCTGAATCTCTATGCTATTGCAACCCTTTCGAGTATCAAAGGCAGTTGTTGACCACACTAAAGATCCAACTTTCCTTGGTTTTGAACACAGAATAAAGAAACTTCACCTCTGCCTAGATACTTAGCCAATCAGATGACAACCAAACAAATAGAAGTGGCCTTTTTTTTATTTTAAGATGTTATTCCTTCAATCTTTTGGGTTTCACCCCTCCTTTAGTTAGATCATAAAGTAGTTTTCCACTTTGCTATTCCTCTGAAGCACATACATTGTAAAGACTTCTTAATTTGACCAGTGCCAATTATATCCTCAAATTCCAAGTGAACTATGAAGGGGAAAAAAAGGGGCAAGGAGAGCAGCCATCATTAAGGACTAGAAGAGGAGAGAGGCTCTAAGCATGTCAGAAGGGTGGGAGGACACTCATTAAGAGCCAGTCAGAAAGGAAGAAGGGAGCCTCCCTGAACAGGAATCACACAACTAAGCCTTTTACTAATTAGTTCTTGTGCTATGGAAGTTGCTAATCACAGAAAAAAGACAGCGATTGTTAAACGAGAACCAAGAATTCTCACCAAAAATATGAACTCACAGGTTTGTGCGTTACACTGTACCACTGACAGGGGCCACTGGTTTTGCCTGAGCAGGGAGCTTCTGCTTCAGCAGGCTTCCAACACTCTGTTCGCAGGCGATCTACGGAAGATGTTAACGCATCAGCAGGATCCAGACAGGATGAAGCAATACAGCCTGCAAGACTTTTCCAAATGGGGTGTCTTTCCTCCACAACAACTACACAGAATCTACTCCGTGAAAGGCAGCAGGTGAAACAGCACCGACAGAGATGTGCCAGCTAACCTGCACAGTTCTTTTTGTGCACTTTGCAACTCTTCCCTTCCTGATAGAGTAGGTACCCAAGGAAGACTCTCACCTCTGTGGTAGCTTGGCCCTTCTGTCCGTAACAGGACAAGGAATTCATCATCAGCCTGTAGACTCCTCAACTTTAGCCATAGGAATTTATCTTCCCTCAAAACAAAGAGGTCATTCTTCCATTTCTCCTTATTGGCCTCCCATTGGCACATACAAGTACTCCCCTCCAATACTTTCATATTAATAATAAATATGTTTTCCTGCTCATAAGTAGTAAATGTAACATAAAAATGGGAAGATTTTGCACCCCTTTTTTAACTGACCAGGCAGTCTTTCCTGCCCCTAAGTTTATCCCAGAAAATCACGGCTCAAATAATGTGCCAGTGAAGATAAAGGAGCTGAGAATCGTTAGCACATTTGACTTGGCAGCTAGCAAGAATGATTTTGTGAAAGGAAATACAATTTGTAGCAAAAGTGGAGGATTTCATTGTCCATATAACTTAAAATATTCATCGTCAGTGGATATCAGGTTCTTGTTTCACAGGAGTCCGAGACTCCACCCATTCTAACCTTCAGGCACACACTTTTCTACATTCTTCCCTTGTATGTAGGGAATGCAAGAAGAAAGTGTTAGAAACCACCAGAATGCTTTGATTACTCTAAATACCTGGTCGTGAATATTAAATACGCCATGCACAGCTTCTACCAAGAGCTCCCTCTCCAGAAGACAAATACAGAACTGAATTCCGAGCTCTGGATTGCCAGCCGGTTATTCCTCTCTCCCCAAAAGAACACGGAACAAGAATCTCACTGTCACAGCAGCAGACCAGTACTTCAGGGCTCTTCAGAACAACCAACGCTTCCTTGCTCTCTTCTGCCGGCCGGTGGTACCGCCCGTGCACAGGCAAGGCCGCTCTAAAACAGCGAGAGCACCGAGGGTCGGGTTCCATGTACAGGAGCACAAGAAGATCTGTAGCCAAGTACTCTGGAGCCTCCACATCGATGACATCAGGAATTAACACTGCCTGCAAGTGGAGAAAGATACAGATGCAGTTGCGATCAGAATCGACAAAAGGCAGGGATATGGGGAAAAAAAAGAATAAATGAACATTTTGTGCGTGATTCTGGGATTTAAGGGGCTGCTGTCTGCTGCAATAACCTACTGCTGCATCAGAAGGGAAACCTATTTTCCTCATTCTATTGTCTAGCACTGTGCCTGATTTCACGATCAGGATGATCAGGTTGGGAATTCTCTCCTTAGGCTGTTCCAAAATAACTTTTCAAGTTTCTCTCCAATGAGTCATTCTTACGTGTGAAAAGTTTACGGTGCAAACCTAACAGGCATTAGCTTAGTTATGCGTATAAGCAAGGCCATACCAGCACTCACAAGCACAAGTTGCCCAGAGTCTTCATATGTTTTAACTAAATTAAGCACCTAAGGAGATTACCGTAAAGCCACAGTGTTAGCACATCTCTCTACCCAAAATGCAAAGCAAATACCTGAAAGCAACACAGAAAGCATTGATGAAAATGAAGCTGTGAAGCTACTCAGCCCACACGTGCCGCACGCTACTTAAGAGCCTGCCACCACCTCTTTTGTGGGGTTAACCTTCCGTCTTCTGAACCCGAATAGCTTGTACCGCAGTCGCTCACATCTGGGGCTGAGCAGAATGGCAGAGGCTCCCCGGTACGCACCCCGATGTCTAGAAACATCAGCTGCGCATGACACAAAACCCCCCGCACCAGGCAATGCCGATCAAGCTGAGAGATACAATGAGATGTCACAAAGATGATATTATGCAGCATCTCCTTCCAGGAAAAGGAATTAATCACCTTGGTTCAACAAGCCAGATAAGCAGAGATTACAACTTCCTGAGCGTACTCGTTCTTATCTGAGTGACTGCCAGAAGTCTTAGCTTAGGGGTTGTTACCTTCGTTAAATTGTGCTGCTGCAGCGATGCCAGCTCGTAGGGATCCACATAGATCCCTGCTGGAAGACGAGTTCTAACTGCCACTGTGCATCCTGCTGCATCCTCCTCCGCTACGTCGAGTTCTACCTTCACCAGCAGGTCCCTTCAAACAAGCCACAGAAGCAAAGTGTTTATACCCGCACTTCAAAAGATGGCACAAACACCCCCAAGAGACATACTCTCAAACACGCAGAGATTAGACACAGCTCTCATGTACTACGTGCGTCAAATTCAAAAAACAGTTCCCTGTCGAGCCATGCTGTCCCTCCCCCGTGAGGAAGTTCACCCTGACTCCACATCCATGACCAAAATGAAGTTTCACTTCTTTGTTAACTTCTCAGAACTACTCCGAGATCTTAATCTTAGAAAAGGGCCTCCTATTCTTCCTCTACTAGAGCTTGTAATTGTTAATTACTCGATTCCTGGTGCCTAGCCATGCCTACAGATCACAGCTCAGTGAGCTGATGATACAACTGTGCATGAATTAGGGGAGAAGCTTCCTCTCATGTAAAATTCCCTGCACGTTACTCTGATGCGGCACCAGGGTGACAACTTACCTGTGAAACCCCTCTTTCAGAAGCTCCTGCGTGACGGTGGCATCCTGACAAGCGGCTTGCACATCTAAGATAACACAAAAGGAACAAGTAATGGTGTTTACAGAATAGCACACGTAATTATCACACGGGCAGACAACCTTAATGAATGAAAGCGTATCATCTACGAACACATCGTCTGTAAAACTTCTCACAGCAAAAGGGGAAACTATTTCAATTTAGTGCAACCAACAGCTGTTTTGTCAGTAGAACGCCAAGCTTCAGCCTCCAGAAGGTTGAAATCTCTTTTCCAGTACAGCAACTTTCAAAAGCATGTTTTTGTTTTTACTGAGGAGTAATCCCCACTTTTTCCCACTGCAACCCCCATTCCAGGTGCGATTCCTTATCTCCTACTTCTCCATCAATCCCTGTAAGATCCAGATTTTAACAACAAACTTTGTGTTACAGCTACTCTTTTTCGCTAAGTTTCCACAGGATTTCACTTTTAGACCTGAAACTCCAATCATCTTACGTACAACATCAGTATCTGCTTGAGCGGAGACCCAAAGCAAGGCAATGCTGCCTTACTATGAGATTTTGCAGCTGGTTTTCAGTTACCTAATCTGGAAAATTGCTTGTTTCTGTTATTAATTTCCATACTGGAACAGACTATTTCAGTTGGAAGTGACCTATGACGACCAAGTGATGACCTGACTGCTCCAAGGTTGGCCAAGCTCAAGCACGTCGTTAAGGGCATTGTCCAAATGAAGCGCTGACAGGCTTGGGGCATCCGCCATCTCCCCAGGAAGAGCCCAGAACCCAGCCCTACAAGCAAGCAGGCGCACACAGCTCCACAAGCGCATAAATAAATATTTTCAAGACGAAAGCCCGAACAACCTGGCCTGAACCCTTTCACGTCAGTACCACGGCATCCCAGATGCTCACGCGTGGACCACACTGCGCGGGGACACGCTGCGTGAAGTCATTTGCCCCACGCCCAGGGTTACG